CACAGCGTATACGGCATCAACAACTATCACCTCATTCTGTATCTACTTTGGACGCTCCTCTGGGCGTCTCCTGCCAGGACACGCCAACGCTTTTTTCCGAGGCTTTCTCTGTCATGCCGTTAATGTTGCAGCACTGAGCCGACAGTAGCAGATTCAGTGGAAATGGGCCCAGATTTCCCAGCATGCCCCTCACTCTCTCTCTCTCTCTCTCTCTCTCCATTGACTGACTGATGCCATGCCAAGCGCTGTGTCTGACGCTGGACTGGCCTGGTGTCTGTGTGGGCGGAGACTGGAGCTTTGGGGAATTATTGATTAGCCATTTTGAGCTTTTTGTCTTGCATTGTGCGTCCTATAGCCACAGAATGTAATTTAAAAAGGCGTTTAAGTAAAAGAGGTGCTAATACCGAGCCCGGCTACAATCACACATTTGGAAGGATTGCAGCAGATTGCAATAAACAATACAATTTCTTCTACTTCATTGCCTTGGACACAACAACAATAGCAGGGAAATCTCAGTCAACCATTTTGAGCCGAAGAAAATAATCAACAGAATTATGCAAAAAGTACCCGAGAGAGTCCTGTTCAATCCTTTAGCTAAGATACAGTTCAAATCTCGTAATTGCAAAGTAAATGTACAGACAATAAACACTATTGAGCCAACATATATTTTAAAAATCTATTAAATTATTAGTCTAGAAAGTAAATACCATACCTGCTTATGCCATTACATCTATAAGAGAAAGTACTATGAAAACAACCTTTCATGGTGTAGCCTTTACTTTTGCCTGATTTTATTTTGATATTTTATGGTTTCATCCCTGTTTATTCGTGGTTTGATTTTGGATATTTGAGTTCTGTTTGGAGTCCTGGATTTGGTTTATCAAGTCTGTTTTATCTATCTAATCTATAAACCTATTTTTGTCTTTACATTTCAAGTTCTCCTTTTGTTCTGCACTCGTAAGACACAACAAATAGAAATGATTAGTATTAATTTGACTGTATTTAACAATTGATTCTCTATTGTCTTTATTGTCCTTTTAAATCATTGCTGCAACAAGTTTTTCAACTAGAATGGTGGAATCTTGTAACTAGTGCTTGACATTCTGGGTATCAGCAGAGACTAAAATCTTGTCTATAACATGGGATTAAAACAATCTATGTGCAAACGTGTAACTTAACCTTAACTTAAACCTGCATCTGACATCAATAAGATACTGAAGTGACCTGTATCTGATCTGTCTGACCTTCTGCACAAACATGTACCGGGTCTTAGTCTCAGAGCTGTTCACCGCCCCATGGATTAAGTACAAAACACGGGGTGACCCAGGTCTGAGAACCTGGAAATCCATAGAGTTATCCAAAGCACATTTTAAAACTCACATGTTTAGGATTGCTATTTTGTGACCTGCAGTTTGTTTGCACTGGAATGTATTGTATGTTACTTTAGTTTATGAATGTGTTTTACTGTTTTGTTATTTTGTTGTTTTTAACTGTCACATGTTATCTATCTGAGGGGCGCTGCATAAATAAAGGTTAAATACTGAGTTACTTACAATCAAAAATGGCAAAGACCTTGAATCCAGCTCTCAGAAAAGGCACAGTATGTGATAATATTGAGTCAAGTAAAAGTATTGAGCTCCAAGTATCACTATATAATCATCCGTGCTCTGTAGTCTAGCTCTAGTGTAGGGCTTATCCGCTGGAAATATAAAACCATATACTATACATTCTCTCAAGTGAAAGTGCATACAGGCACTTGGAGTACTCTTGATAAAATCTGCTTTCATGCGACACAAGTGCCGTAGAAATAACAGCCCTGGCACTTTATTTTTTGACTGTAACGTTTGTGAAAAATGGCTGAACTTGGTTAATCCAAAAAACAGCTTCTATTCAAGTGGTACTTTCCTCTACGAACACAACTTTAATCTCCTTACACGTCTTTCATTTTTTCTACTCTCTCTCCTTTTGCTATCTTCTTCACTTTTGAGTGTTGAAGCCATTTTCTTGCGTTTACCATGGGTCAGGCAGCAGTCCAAGCCCAGAATCTCAAACTTCACTATTTACAAAACGGTCCTCCAGCTCATGGGGGGTGGTTCCTGAAACTCCTCTTGACTTGGAGGGGAGGAGCAGTGTCTCTACTCCGTGCTTCTCCCCTTTTGAGCGTCAACTTCACTGAATAAACCTTTCTTACAATAGCAGAGGCTTTTAGATTTTAGAAAATAATAATAATAATACCAATAAAAACAATGTTAGTAATGCATCAGGCATTTTAGACTCATAGATACATTCATTCACTCCATATATGGTGCTGGGAAGCTGCTACAGTAGCCGCAACTGCCCTGGAGCAGAATGACGAAAGCAAGACCACCAATCTGCGTCATGTGCCCCTCCGACAACCTCTAATCACCCACACATACTGCAAAGTGTGTTGCCTAAGGAAGCGACAACAGCTTTTGCCCTTTCAAAACATAGTATAGTATAGTTCCTCCCTTGTATTCTGTCTCTCATACAACAAATGGTTTGGAAATGGATTCTACCACGCTTTCAACTTCATTATTTGTCCGGCAGAACAAGCTAGTTGTGTCAATCCGCTCAATATGCTTCCCCCATTTGGAGATTTCACACACAAAAACCTGTGTCCTGTAAATGAAGGTTCTATTCTTTAAAAATAGTCCAGCTGTAGTAGACGGCGTGTCCTTGTATGTTGGAGACAGGCAGTGCCATTGATCCCCTTCCCCTGGCATTGATCATGTGAGGTAATTAAAGTGCTGTAGAAAAACCAGCAAACCAAATAATGACTGGTTTATCTGAATGTGAAGTGTCTTCCTCCTCCTCTTCCTCCTCCTCCTCCTCCTCTTCTGGTGTAGGCTGCATAATTGCCAGTTTCTTGTTTCCAGACATCGATAATTACCACAGACGGTTTATTGAATCACCCACAATTGGCTCCTTGTATTGTTGCTCTAGCTGTAGCCTTATCGCAAAAACTTAATAAGATTTTAAATACACATGAGCCGAGGTATGAACTGCTCCCATGCACGGATACTGTTTGAACTTGGGCTTGGTTTGGTTTCCCTGCGATGGACAATCAACAAAAGAATGCTCTAATGGGCAGTTTGGTGATAGCACGTTTGCAACAGACAGACAGTCAAATCTACATAAATTTATGGGCTTTGTCACGAGTGTGAAATATGCTCTTCCTTCTTCCAATCAGTAATCACTTTATTGCTACTGAGAAATGTTGTCTGCGTTAAAATGAATGACAGACCATATAAATCTTGTCACGATTGTCTATAATAGCCTTTTTTTTTGTCTGACTCGCACAGTGATTGCTCTTTGGTTCACGAATTTGAGTTCGGCTTAAGGAGAAAGCTCCCAAAATATACGCTTCCATTCTCTCTGAACATTTGTGTAGATGTCTAAACTCCAGGCTAAAAGCGGTATCTTTTTGTATTTTTTAGTAGTATGCAACACAATGGATTTGTCAGCGGAAAAAAGAGGGGGCTGTGATTTCAACTTGATTGCGATAGACTTGGAAATCGTCAACATCTGTGCCACTTCACCAAGACACACAGACGCACACACATGTACAATATTTTCACATACACCAAGATATATAATCGTTTGTCAATCCTCTTTTGCAGTAGATTAATTGTACTGCCGCGGCTCATTGACCATCACCTGTACTCTTGAATTAATACGAAAATGTTAAGGTCAATCACACAAGAACAATTACGATTCACGCTCTGTTCTTAGCCAATTTCTTAATGAATGAATCACTCAAAGACGACATATAGACTGCTTTCAAGTTCAAGGGATGTGACCTTATGACAACACCGTTTCGTCTTCATTTATCATAAGATGATTTATATGATTTATATCATAATGCTACCAGTGCAAAGGTTAACATAAGGACATTTGGATGTATGGACGCTCAACGCAATACATGCCTCACTTATTTTCACTTCAACCTGAAACGTAAGAGACTTTTCCGTTAACCAGTACGTGGAAAAAATGCTTGGCCCCTCCAAACACAAGATAATTAAGTCAGTTTTCGTCTCAGATGGCAAAACAGCTGCTTTAAGGACAAGCTTACGAAATGAATTGATGACACCCCACATATTTACATAACATAGACTAGGCCAGTGCAAGAAGATGCAATCATAGCATTGCCATTCACTGTCAGAATGTGCTTAATTAACTCCCTGACATGAAGGGGAAACAGGCATAGTGACTGGCAGCAGTTTTAAATCTAAATTGCATTTCTGTAAATAAAACCAATTCTGGAATATGGTCCGAGCATTGACAGCAAACAACGAATTGGGTCATAAATTGGGGACTTATTTGCAGCTTATGATACATTATTCAGCAGCAGAGGGAAGCAGCGTTGTATACCCTGGATTGGGTGCTCTCTGGGCGCCCTTCTCAGTCCATACACACACACACGCAACAGCAGCAGCAGAGAGATAAAAAAAAAAAAAAAGACGCGCTGACACTATATTTACGGCTTGTACGTGGACATGTATGGCTTTGACAAGGCGTTTTGGGTAAATCCACTCTATAAGGAGCACACAGCACGAGCTTTGTCATGATGCAGGGGGGGGGGGGGGGATACCGGCATGAACAGAACAGACCTAACAGAGCACATGAAGTACCCAGCGAAGAACCTCTGCGTATACATAATGGATAGGGCCTTTACACTGTATTCTGCTGCCGCTTGCAATATGATTAGTCTATAGCGAGGTGGCCTCATTTCCCAAGATGACACACACTCACACACACAGATACACACAAATGTATACATAAAACACCTGACTCGTTGTGCATTTACTGCCTTTGTGCATGCTTGGAGCAGCATGCCATCCCATATATGCAGACTATGGGAATGCACTGATGCCTGATTAGCTGGAATGGACGCGCGTCTTTGTATAGACCCTGAGCGAGTGCTTGTGTTTGTGTGTGTGCGTGTGTGTCATGTACGTTTGTGTGTGATTTGATCTTACAGTCAAGGTGTTTCTTCTTGGGCGCGCTGACTTCGTGTGTCGTGGCCTTGCACACTGCTTTGCCGATAGCCGAGCCAGTCATGCTGTGGTGCGCCGCGGCGATCCGGTCCGTCAGTGACTGTCCAGACATGGTTCTGTCCCGACAAACACACACACACGCGCACGCACGCACACACACACACGCGCGCGCACACAAACACACACTCACTCACACTCCCTCACTCACAAACACACACAAACACAAACACAAACACACAGACCCACACACCAGCGCGCAAAGAGGAGAGGATGAGCGATGATGCCCGGGGTGTGGAGTGGAGGTGGAGAGGACGATCAGAATGTCTTTACGATGCGCTGGGTGAAATCACAATCCAAGCCAGATGGATTCGTATGTGCATATAACAGGGACACGGTCAAATCCAAGCGGGTATCTCTTACTCAGTCGAAGGCATGGGCAGCAAAAAAAGACGTCGTTATAGTAAATACATACACGCAGCTACAGTACAGCTATCCCTGATTTTTGTGTTGGGTTTTTTCTTTTTGGAAAATATCCCAATATGGCACAACACTAGGCAGCCTGCATCTTCGTTTGGCAAGTATAAAAAGGCATTGTCCTCCTGTGTCGGTCTTCTGTCACATCCCACAACCCCGTGCGCGCTCTGGAGACGCCGGCTGCGGTCAAAGGCAGGCTACTTCATATCCTAGAAAAAAAGAGGAGGGTGTATATATTTCGGTCTCGTCTCTCCCCCCTCCGTTTTCCAAGTGAAAGTTGTGTGTGTGTGCGCGTCTCTGTGTGTGTGTGTGAGAGAGAGAGAGAGAGAGGAGGGAGAAAGAGGAGAGAGAGGCGAGGAGGGAGGGAGGGTACGTGGTGGTGGTGGTGGGGAGAGGGGGGGGACGTGCGTAAAATGGCAGTGCATGAATCAGGTGACTAGGAGCGCGGTGCCATTGGGCCTCAGCTGCCCGTGTCCTGGGAGGGGATCTTAAAGCCGAAGGATGCCCCCTTTTGATGGAAAGCAGAGAAATGGAGAGAAAGGCAAGCAGCTGGTTCACTGTGTGGCAAGATAGGCAGCGAGAGAGGCTTGTAATAGAGATATAGTGATAGCCTAATGTCAAATACCAGCCCGTGTGGTGTGGATGAAACGGAGCATCTTTGAAGGGGACTGATAAATGCCATATTTGAGGAATGCCCTTGAACGTGTTGGGGTTTAGTGAGGATAATGCCTTCTTCTTTATAGGCCAGGACTCTCTCTCGCTCAGGTCCAGTGTAAAAATAGACCAAGAGGAGTGCAGATTGTTGTAGCTCTGGTTTCTTTCCTCAATCCTGCAAAATTAGCAGAATGTATTTTTGGCCCCAATGCCCCACTATTGAATAATTGTGCTCAAAGATTTGAGGAGGGGCCATGTCTTCCATTTTATCTCAAACATCCACGCACTGAAGTCTGTCTGTTTGAGTTGTCTTGGTGTGTAATAGTGGTGTAGTGTATGTGGCCTATGTGTGTGCAATGTGGGTTGCTCAATGACACAACGTCAATTTCAAATGTTAAACTAAGATTCAACAGCTGTGTAAAATATTTTAAAGGACAAAATAACAACACAGAGAATAAGAATCAGATTTTATTTATTATTGCCATTGTAAGTAGCAGATAGTCACACACAAGTTATACAAGATAAAATAGATATATATATACAAAATATTCACAAAATATCTTAAAGATGCTTATATTATGACACAAAGATTTGGAACAAAAACGTTACAATGTGAAACCAACACAGGATATCGCTTCATTACAAAGGGACTTATTCCTTTCTTAAAATTTTCTGAGATTTTTTATTTCAGTTTTTTTGGGGCCACAATGTGGGCCATAACTATAAACTTTCTAACAAAAAAAAACTTAGATGCATCTCACACTGCAGGTATTGAGTCTGTGATATATATTGGTATAAGACATACTGTAGTGGTGCAGCGCTCGTGCTTCACTGCAAGAAGATCCCTTTCATGCCATCTACAAACAGCGCCTTTCTGAAAGGACTTTGAATGGTCTCCCTGTGTCAGTGGAGGTTTCCTCTGGGTGCTCCGGTTTCCCCTACCACTAAAACATGTGCTTTCGGCCTGGCATGCGACTCCTGTGGGTGACTCCACTCACATCACTGAGTGGAGCGAGAGGGAAAATACCAACAATTGTAAAGTGCTTTGGGACTAGCTTGGTGCTATACAAATAAACATTACTTACTGACTAGTTTCACTTTGATTGTTGTTTTGAATTTCCAGATTTTCACTTGTATATTCCAGTGGTCAATGTTGAACCATAATCCACTTCTATATACTGCAAGTCCAAACCCTAGTACCCTAAAAATATGTATTTACTAAAAATGATGTTAGTTTTGTTTGCTTGAATTTAGTTTGTCATGTAAGATTCTTCCACTAGTTTTGAGATAATAATACTTTATTGAGTTTTAATGCTTGTTTTAAGTCTTTTTTTCTTGATGTTTAATGAAAATAAATACATTTTGCTATATTTTAAGAAAACATATTTAAGAAATAAGTAAATAATACTTGTAATTTATGTTTTTATACTAGAATCAAGTCATTTGGGGCTAGTATTATTTTCTTATTTGAAGAAATCTTGTCAAATAATATTTTCTTGTTCTTTTGGCAGATATTGTTTTTAAATTTAAGCCGTATTTTACTTATTTTCATATATATATATATATTTTTTTTTTTTCAAAGTTTTTTTCCCCAGTGTTTAACCTTTCTCTCACTAATTCTAATACCACTGTTTATAAATAGACAAACTTAATGTCATTTTGTCGCAGCAATAACACCTGAAAGGAGACAGGAAGTGTAAGTGCGCTTCTAAAAAAAAAATCTCATATGGCTCTAATTTTGACAATCCATTTCACATACGGCACTTCAGCCCTCGCATATTCCCATCTTATCTGTCATTTTGTGCTGATAACAGGAAGCATTACTTTGACAGACTCTCTCCAACACATTAACAATAGCAGCAGATGTGCGGTTATGGCTCCAAGGAACGATTTAAAACAATGCATTATCCTCGTGTCCCTGTCCTCGGTGAAAGTCTTCGCTGAGCACATCATAAACCCACTTTATGTAATTAAATATTCTTTGCAACCAGTAATTAGTTTGCGTTAAATTAATATCTCCAGCAGGATTCAAGTTGTAAGTAGATTTTACCTGATAATTGTGCCACGCCGCCTCTGTGGACCTTAGAAAATGTGTTAATCGAGAGCTCTAAAAAAGAAGGTGAATTGTAACAGGAGGATCATATGAGTTACAGGGAAAGAACAGATATGATATCAGACTTTGGAAAAGAATGGGTAAGTAAGTCATCTTTATTGATATAGCGCATTTCAAAGACCAGAGTCACAAAGCGGTTTACAATTGTTGGTATTTTTCCTCTCACTCCACACAGAGATGGGACCCGGGTCGCCGTACAGAAAGCCAGACCTATTGGACATGTTTTTAGTGGTAGGGGAAACCGGAGCACCTGGAGGAAACCTGCGCAGACACAGGGATAACAGAAATTTCTGGAGGTGGAATCCAACCTTCTTGCCGTAACTTTAGCATAATGAAGAAGCAAGAATTAGGTATAACATCTCAGACTTTATGCAAAATCTTTGGACAATGGATGGACAAGCTGTGGAGCCAGGACTCGGGCTGTAGCATGAGGACTCGGGCTGTAGAACGAGGACTCAGGCTGTAGCATGAGGACTCAGGCTGTAGCATGAGGACTCGGGCTGTAGAATGAGGACTCAGGCTGTAGAACCAGGACTCAGGCTGTAGCATGAGGACTCAGGCTGTAGAACGAGGACTCAGGCTGTAGCATGAGGACTCAGGCTGTAGAACGAGGACTCAGGCTGTAGAGCCAGGACTCAGGCTGTAGCATGAGGACTCAGGCTGAAGAATGAGGACTGTGAGGTTGCAGGACGAGGGTGCAGCCCATGAGTCCGGGACGGGGGAGACCAGTCCACAAGTGCAGATTAGAAAAGCCGGATTCAGAGGTGCCATTTTTTCACTAATACATTTTGCAAGTAAAATCTACTTTGTATAACATCAGTATCCAAAATAGCCAGTTTCTCTTTCTGCCGTGTATGAAAGAGCCTATTTAAAGAGGCTGCTGTTTGCACGATTCAGTTTCTGTTGATGTTGGCTGAAGAATCCACAACAAACAAGTTGATTTAATTGATTTGCACCCACACAGTTTCATACGACAAGTCACACTAAGACCAAACGCCAAGATGTTTTTTTTTTTCCAGACATCTAAACAGCCATAGACATGTCATCAAATAACCGTAAATGCCTCAAAATAGCACTGTGGAAAATTGACCTGATTTGTGTCACAATTTTACATTGTCAGCTGGAACAAACCCTGCTTAGAAGATTTGGATTTTTTTGGTATTTCTTAATTTTTCTCTGGTGTCATCAAACCATTGCATATGTTATCTTAATTATTAGTTTTCTTTGTCAACTTGTTTCACAGAAGCGGTACTTCTCCTCATAGTTGGTCAATTCAGTTCAATTTGATTTATTTTTGTATAGTCCTTATTCGCACCCACAGCAAGGACTGTACGAAGTTCAGAGAATCAAACAGTTCAAACACAGGAAATGCAATAATAACAAATCATAGGAGCCATTGGTACAGAGGGGGCGGATGAGCAAGGTCCATAAATGTTAATAGATATCTATAAATGTCCAGGATCATTCCTGTCCATGCAGAAGGGTCAACCCGATTCAAAAACCCAGTGGGAAAAAAGTGAGAAATCTCGGAGAGTCCCATATTGAGAGAAAGATCCGCTCCCACAGATAGGCTATAGATCCATCCAGGACTCATATGTGTGTGGATGTGGAAAGTCTGGCAATCTTTGCTTAAACTGCTGCCCCCGCAACCCGGCGACAGATAAAGCAGAAGAAAATGGATTGGAAAATCAGCATTAGTATAGTTGATATTCTCTGAAGCTGTGCAGGGAAGGGCCTGGTTAGTACTGTGATGGGAGACCCCTGGGAACACCAGGTGCCACAGTGGGGCAGCTGCGGCTGTAAACCGCCAAACTGTTGTCATGTCCTTAGGCAAGACACTTCACCCACATTGCTTAGAATGAGTCTGGTGT